ACAACACTGGGACTTTGGAGGTGCTGACCTCCCTTCCCACTTGGGGTGGAACCCACCCTGGAAGCTTCCTCTGGCCACCTCAAAGCCAAAATTCCAATCGAAAGCCATCGCTGGGGAATTTCACCCCCTTTTTTTTTCTGCAAAAATCACCAGGTTTTTGACATTTCTCTTCCTTCATCCTTTCAGAATCTGCTCCTCTCTTTTCTGACCACAGGGAGAGGTTGTGGCCATTCCCTGCAGGGACATTTCTGGCCTTGGGAAAGCTCTCCCTGCTTCTCGAGAGCTTCCCAGCCCTTGTCTCCTTCACTTCCCTCCCTCTTTCTGGACTTYGGACTTGGTTCCAACCTCTGCCAGRTTGTTCYGTGCTGCCCCASRGATCYTGATCTCCATCGAGTCATGTCCTCCTTGTCCCCCAGATAAAATTCTGGTGACAGCAGAGTCATCCCTCCCCCTCTGGAATCCCCATGTCCATCGGCTGATTCCTTCCATCCAYGTTTCGGAGCAGATCCCGATGGAGTGACCTGGTGGCAGGTCCTGTTCCTCCTCATCCTCCCTGTTTGGAGTGACCAGTGCTGTCCCCTCCCCTCCCTCTGTCCCCCCACCCTGGATCCAGCCAATTCCAATGGAGCATTTCCATAAAACTTCAACAAAGGCAAAAGAAGATYTCCCCCCCAAAATAATTCCCAACTGCCCAAGCTCTTTCTGTCTGCACAGCAGAAATCCCTCCAATTTAGGGCCTTCCCGGACCACCTCTAGTTACAATTTTCTCAGCAGAAAATTTCACTATTTACCACTAAGTGTTGACAATTCATGGAATTCCCTCCCCTCTCCCGCCCTTTTAAAATCGTGGTAATTGCACCATTTTTTAATGTTCACCATAATTATTAATTCCTGCAGGACACAGAATTTTCRGTCCAAGTCAGATTTTTGTACAGGTTTATAAAATTTATAAAATTCCCTGATATAGGATTTTTTTTTTCTGTTGTTTAATAGCAGCTTTCAGTCTCACCCAGTTTGAAGTCTGTGTGAGGGAAACTCCATCTGATATCCCTGTCCCCTAAATCATGGGTGTGGGATCACGGTGGGATATCTGCATCATTAGAACAATATATTCTTGCAGCTGGGAAATCAGGCTTAAAATAGGATAAATTGTGGGCGAGTATCAACATTTCACCTCCTTTTCTGTAAAAAAAACAAAAAGATTTTTGATATTTATCTCAGGTTTTTTTTTTTTTCTCTTCTCAGAATTCTCACTGCCTCCACTGACCACAGGGAGAGGTTGTGGTTATGCTGGGGAAGGAGGGGGGAGAAAAGGAAAGTCTGCGGGCTAAAGGCATTTTTATGAGTGTGTCTGTGTCATCRCAGCCCCAGTTCCAAGTGACTGAGGGCCCTAATTATGCAGGGAATTTCAACAGCYGGAGATCAAGATCTCTCTCAGTGCTCATTTATCTCCTTCATGGGGGCAGTTATTAAATTTAAATACGGGATTTATTCTTGTGTTACTGTATGTCTCTGGCAATACTTTAATAGTCAGAAGTGCATTGATAACCTTATTTATTTACTCCGCTCTACCAGTGGGGCTTGCAAAGATCCTTCATTTATATTTGGGATCTGGTTTTCTGAGACACCTGTTGGATTTTAGTCATTTCAGGTTTTGTTTTTTTCTCCCCTTTTCTTTTAGTTCTTTTTATTTCTATTTTCTATAGAGTTTATGGCTGTCTCATCCCTGGAGGTGCTCAAGGACAGGTTGGATGGAGCTTGGAGTGACCTGGTCTGGTGGAAGGGAGACCTTGGAGCCCCTTGCAGGGCCTGAAGGGGCTCCAGGAGAGCTGGAGAGGGACTGGGGACAAGGGATGGAGGGACAGGACACAGGGAATGGGGTCACACTGCCAGAGGGCAGCGATGGGTGGGATATTGGGATGGAATTCCACCCTGTGAGAGTGGGGAGGGGCTGGAATGCATTTCCCAGGGGATGCTCCATTCCTGGAAGTGTCCTAGACCAGGTTGGATGGGGCTTGGGGCACCCTGGGACAGTGGGAGGTGCCCCTGCTCATGGCAGGAATGGGATGAGCTTTAAGGTCCCTCCCAACCCAGACCATTCCATGATMCTATTTTGAGCTGATTTAGACCATCCTGTGGCAATGTCGAGGCGTTTCTTAGAGCCTGAGAACTGGGATTCATTATTCCCATTTCAGGTTTGGGTTGAGGGTGGACARAGGTGGATGAGGGTGGTGCAKCTGGGCACGTTCCTGYCCCAGCTGTGCTCAAAAAGCTCCAGTTTGGGTCTGTTTGTGAATTTCTGTGTGTTTCCAACGTGTCCATCCTGGTGGTCTCCTCCCACAAAAAGCCACACTCGTGTTGCTGTCTCAGAAGCTTCTCCAGGTGGGATGAACTTCCCCAGGGACTGTTCTGGATTGGGGGAACAACACGAGGGCCCTCAGCCCCTGCTCCAACAGCTGCACAAGTGGCCTGGACGGACAACTTTAATGGAACAAGTTTTGGGATGCAATTTAAATTTACCCTTAAAATCCCCAAGACAAAGAGCCAGGTTGATCCTGCGGCTGTAAAACCCTGACCCCGTGAAAACCCATCTCCCCGGGAAGGATGATGGATGAACCTGTGATCACTTTGYCCCAGCTGTGTCAGGAAGAGGAAAGAATCACAGGAAGCTCCCCCTCCATCCGCTCCTGTTTCTGGAGCCAGCTCGACAGGTCCAGGCGTGGTTGGGATGCGCTGCCAAGGCTGAGCCTCTGCCAGATCCGACCACAACAGCCACCCACGCTCGGGGTTACGGCACGTGGGGTGGGATGGCTGCTCCCCTCATGCCAGCTCTGGGCTCTGGCTGCCCCAAAAAGCGCAGAATTCCTGCCTGGTTGGCTTCAGCTGCTGCACGGGGCAGGATTTTGGGATGGACRCCTCTCTCGGCGGTGTTCTGCAGGGAGCTGTGGGGTCACAACATTTCTGTTCATGCTGCAGGGTCACAACACTTCCTTCCATGATCCATGGGGATTACCTGGAGCGTTGCCCAAAGGGGAAGAGGAGGGGTGGAGAGGGGAATCGCACCCAGAGCCACCCCCAGCCCTGCAGAGTCAYGGGATCATTGAGGTTGGGATCATCGAGTCCAACAGTTCCCAWGGCCACCACTGACCCTGTCCCCARATGCCACATCCACAKATTTCTTGGACACTTCCAGGGATGGGGACTCTCCCCCTGTCCTGGGCAGCTCTGCYAGGGCTGGACAACCCTTTACAAAAAGGAATTTTCCCCAATATCCAACCTAAACCTTCCCTGGTACCACTTGATGCCATTTCCTCTCCTGTCACTCATAACCTGGGAGAAGAGTTTGACCCTCACCTTGCTCCAACTTTTTCAATCTCCTTCTGGAATTCCATCCCCCCCTCTCCCTTTTAAAATCCTGGTAATTGCACCTTTTTTTTTAATGTTCACCATAATTATTAATTCCTGCAGGACACAGAATKCTCAATCCAAATCAGATTTTTATACAGCTTTATAAAAAGGGGGAAATTCAGCAGGAAATCTGGTCAAATCTCTTGAGGAAATGTAGCTAACGAGTAAAATTTAATGACAAAATTAGCACAGATGGAAGGCCTGAGATACCAATTGGATGTTCTTGGTGTGGGGTGAGGGAGGGGATTTTGGTAAGGGAAAAGTGGATTTCTCAGCTTTTTTCCTGGAAAACACCATTTCCTTGTGAGAAAAGCCTCGCTGAGCATCCAAAGTCTTGTCCACTTCGAGATATTCCAGCTGGTTTAATAACCTCTTGCTACAAACCCCTAATTTAAAGTATTTATGAGGCACTTTCCAAATGGAGCYGGGATTGCCCAGCCCTGACCACAGAACCTCTACATAACTGATGGATTCCCAGCCCGGCCTCATCCAGCTCCTTYGGGAGGAAGAGGATCCTGCCAGGCAAAGTCCAGCTCCTCCTAAAGTCACTCAGGGGACAAAGAGGAGGTTCTTCCCGTGGGGAGGTGGTTCCAGAAGTGCTTTTGGAGGAACCACATCTCGGTGTCTTCTCAAGAAATTAATCCAGGCTGGAGCCTCCATGCGGGAATGCCAGCAGCAGGATTTGGCTCCCAAATGCTTTTYCATGTGTCCGTGGCCCCTGAATGCAGGAAAGGTGGAGTCTGGCACAGAGATGGGGAGAGGGATGGATCAGGTAGGTGCTCAGTGAGACAGTTTAGTTTAGAAAATCTTGGATCCCAGTTCTGTATTGGATATTTCAGCTAAACCTTGCCTCACCTACAAGGAGTTTTAGTCCATGGTCTCACTATTCCCCACACAGAAAAGCAAAACAACCCCAGCAGGAGGGCCAGGAGTCCTTCTCTGTGGAAGTGATTGATCACCTGTTCCCTAAAGTGACCTAATTTAATCATTAATAATTTTAAAAATAGTTTGAATGATTAGAATTTATCTCTGAACTTTTTTTTTTTTCAGCAAGTAAGCTCTGCATCCACTTGTTTAAGTGGATTTATTGAAATCCTTTTTCGAGGTAAAATTGATCAGATTCCATATTTTTTTGTTCTCTCAACATTATTTCAGTTTTATGGGCTATTTTTTTATGCCAAGAGCAAGAAGAGCAGATCAGACCTTCCCTCTCCCTGTAAGAAGCAAAAGTTACTCTTGGGATGTTCTGGGAATGAGGGAAAAGTGGGAATGGGAAGCAAAGGGGGCAGTAGGTGCTCCTGGGGATGCGGTCAAGGGAGGTCAGACAAACCCAAGGATCATCAAGGTCTTGTSCCCCTTGAAATGGCAAAAGAGGTGGGGGAACACGGGAGAGAACGAGAGGATGAGCAGGGGTAACTGTAATTACAAATGGAGGCTAATGAGATAAGGAGATCCATCAGCAAAGCTCATGAGTCAGCCAGGATTTGGGGAATTTCACAACTGCTCCACTGGTATTGGTGTTTATCCGACCTCCGGGCGGCCATTAATTGCTGCCTGATGAACCAAACCCAATAACAACATTAGACACGTGCTAATTACCATGGAATGGAGAYGAGCTCCTCCAGAACGTATAAAGGAGAACTTCCATTCTCGTCCGGAGTAGCTGAGGATCCTTCATTCTCCTTTCTCCTCCTGTTTCACCACCTCCTCCACCGACTCTCCCACCTGRAAGTGCTGCCATGAGACGATATTTCTCCAGATACGGGGATGGGAATTTCAGCTCTTCTTCCGCTCATTGTGGGACCTTGGGTGGTGGAGATGGAAGATTCGTGAGGTTTGGGCAAGGGTATGGCAGCAGGAGCGTCCACAACCTCGGAGGGTTCAGGAATGTCTATGCTGGTGGAGGTTATGGAGGAGAAGGAGTAGGATATGGGAGATGCTTTGGGTTTGGTGGCTGGAGACAACCTGAGAGGGGCTTTGGTGGAAGAGGATATTTTGTGGGAACTTTCCAAGGTGGTGAAACAGGGCTTGGTGGCACCTACAGAGGAAGTTCAGGCAGGGAGGTGTTTGGAGGAGGGGCACAAGGGGCTGGAAGAGAATCGGGACAGGCTGGAGTTCTCCGAGGCATTGAGGAGGTCCACGTCAACACCAGCCTGCTGAGGCCAATAGAGCTCCAGGTGGACCCGGAGTTCCAGCGAATGCGCTCGGATGAGAAGGAGCAGATCAAGGCTCTCAACAACAAATTCGCGTCGTTCATCGAGAAGGTGAGTCCTTCCTGAGTTTGGGCTGTTATCTGGGAAGGGGGAGTACAAGGTGGGTGTGAGTCATGGGGACACCTTCATGTTCCATCTTCTCCCCGTAAAAATCCAATCCCAGCATCGGCTGAATTCCCAAGTTTCCGATAGGTCGCTGTAAACGCCGCTGTGTGAATCACTTTTAGCCCTGGGATAAAGATCCCGGAGTCATCCTTTGTGGCACGACAATAAAACGCCAGGATGTCACTGACAAATTGACTCACTCCTCTTTTGAGGAAAGGGGTTTCTGGGAGTATAAATTCCTTTATTCCATGCCTACATTCAGTGCCTGGAGGTTGTTGATGCCAGCAGGAAAATGGCTGATGAACATCTTGAAGAGTTAATATTTTTTTTTCTCAAGCAAAAGCAGACCTCGCAGGAAGAGGCTGTTTTAGTGCCTCTTCTAGCAGAGGGTTTGTACTTGCCAGAAATTGCAAGTGAATTTGATTTCTCTCAATTATCAAATCACTCCTTGGTTTGGAAGCCCTCCCTTCTTCAGGGTGGTCCATCTTTGCCTCTTTCGTGACTTTCCGTCTCTCCAGTTTGGTCTTTTCTTCTGCTTCTGCTCAAATCAGCCACAAAAGCTCGTCCAGCCCGGTGGTATCTGGGAAATATCTCTGTCTCCACTTCTCTCTGTTACACATGGAGACTTCAGGCCTTCCTGTTTTACCAGACAAGAGGTGTTGGTCACACTCAGGAGGTTTAAGTTTCYGTAGTCCTGAAAAATCTGTGTGTCTGTGACCCCTTTCTTTCCCTCCTAAACTTTTTGGTGTCCAGGTYATCACCTGGTCGATGTCACAGAAACTGTGGAGTGATTTGGGTTGAAAGGGACCTTAAAGCTCATCCAGCTCCTGCCATGGGCAGGGAGGGACAACTTCTACTAGACGTTGCTCCAAACCCTGTCCAGCCTGGCCTTGGACACTTCCAGGAGCAGAGCATCCCCTGGGAAATCCATTCCAGGGTCTCACCACCCTCACAGGCAGGAATTCCTSCCCAATATCCCACCCATCCCTGCCCTCTGGCAGTGTGACCCCATTCCCTGTGTCCTGTCCCTTGTCCCCAGTCCCTCTCCAGCTCTCCTGGAGCCCCTCCAGGCCCTGCAAGGGGCTCTGAGCTCTCYCTGGATCCTTCTCCTCTCCAGGTGAACATTCCAGCTCTCCCAAGGCAGAGACCCTGACTGGAGACATTCTGGGATCTCTTTTCCTTCCAGGTTCAATGTCTGGAACGGCAGAACCAGGCACTCTTGGCCAAGTGGGAGCTCCTGCAGCAGCAAAGCTCTGGCCCTGAGGAGAGCAGGAACATCAACAGCTTCTTCCAAGCCTACATCACCAACCTGCAGCGGCAGCTTGAGACACTCCAGAGCCAAAAGGAGCAGCTGGATCCYGAAGCTTACAACATGCTCCAGCTTGTTGAGGATTATAAAAACAGGTGAATAGACACAAATCTGGGAAAACAGGTGCTGGGATTTTCCCAGGTGATGCTCATTGTGCYCTGGGATGGCAAAGCTCAGCTTTGCATCTGCAGGAGTTTGGAGTTTCTTGGCCCTGCTCTGGTGCAGGGGAATTATGTGGCTTGATTTTGGTGCTGGAAGAGTTTGGTGATGATTGAACTCCCAAAAAAGAGAGGAAAATCAAAGTTTGTGATGATCTCTCCCATTCTTTTCCCTTCCCAGACTCCTCCTCTCCACCCTCCTTCCCAGCAATGAGTGACCCAGGATTCCACTTGTGGGGCTCTGGTGGGGAGGGACAGAGCTGAGCTTGGGGTCAACTTGGGAAGAGTTGTCACTTTTTCTGGCTTGGATGATTTACATCCATCCACAGCCCTGAAAAACAGAAAGTTTAATTCAGAATGACTAAATTCAGGACCGATCTGTATTGACCCCATTTATGAGAATGTTTTAGTGCCTTTCCCTGCAGAGGGTTTGCACTTGCCAGAAATTGCAATTAGGGTAAAATGAATACTTGACACATTCAGTCTTTGGGTRTTTCTGTTGTTTACTGATCCACTTGACTTATAAAATTATTATAGATAATGATAGATAATGGATAGATTAATTAAATAGATTAATTAATARTAGATAATAGATCATAATCTACCTCCTTCTTTCCTCCAGATTTGAGGATGAGATCAACAAACGCACATCCAAGGAGGAGGAGTTTGTGGAGCTTAAAAAGGTGAATTAACCTGAGACCCTGAGCAAAATCAAAGCCTTGGAAATAAAACAATATCTGGGTGGTTGCCAAGGTTCTCAAAAGCTGAACTTTTTTTCCGAGCTTTGTCTAATTTTAACTGAAGTAACTGAATAAGACTGAGGAGGAATTATTTCCTCTAGAGAATGAATCAGTCCTTTGTAAGACAAAAGTCTAAGAAGTCCTGGTTTTTCTCTATTTACTCAATCCCAATACAGGTTAAATTTTGTTTTAATGTTAAATAATATCTGTTGATGGCTTAGAAGAATAAAAACTATCAGAGAAAAGAAAATTTAGGCAACTTTTTATTAGAASAATGAATAAAAATGGTGTTTTCCTGTTTCTCATGTTCCCCAGGAACAGATTTTTATTGCTGCARTTGCTGTACTCAGTTGCCAATTGCAGTTGGCCAATTTTTTCATCTTAAACACTTTCCCTTTGTTCCCATTGCTTTTCAAACAAAATCTAAGATCCGTGGGCCACTATTTGATCCCAGGAATGAAGGATTTATGGAAATATCCCAAGAATTGCACTTCAGTGGAGCATCTGGATCAACGAAATACAAATATTCTGATCGTTTTGGTTTGTTTTTCAGGAACTGGACAGTGCCTACATGGGAAAAATGGAGTTTGATGTCCGGGTGGATATCCTGAGGCAGCAGCTGGAGTTCCTCCAGTGYTTATATGCAGCTGTGAGTGACTAAAATCATACCCTCAGGTCTTGAAGGACCCATCTTTTGGAGACTCCCAGAAATTTTGCTTGAGTGGGACTTTTTGGGTGGTAGAATTAATTATCCTTGGCCTTTGGTGAGTGAAAAGGGGTCTGGTGTGTCCCGAAGGCTGGAGGACCTTGGCAATTACAAGTGGTGGGGGTACAGCAATAACTGAGGGCTGCAGGTGGACAAATTCCAGTGGGAAATCAGCCAGAGGGTCCTATTTTTTTTTCCTCAGAATGACCTGGCTGACCACAAAGACTGTTAAAATCCCAAACCTGGTTTTCCAYGCAGGAGCTGTCCCAGTTGCAAACGGTTGTTGGGAACGCTGACGTTGTTCTGTCCATGGACAATCACAGGGAGCTGAACATGGATGGAATCATCGAGGAGGTCAAGAARGAATATGAGGGGATGGCCCAGAGGAGCATGGCCGAAGTGGATGCCATGTACCGGGGCAGGGTGAGTGGACACCAGGGAAAAGGGGACACAAATCTCCTYATTGGAAAAGAAACCTAAAATGTGTTTTGTCCTCTTCCCATCAGTACCAGGACCTGCAGAACATGTGGGAGAATCAACAAGAACAGCTGAGGAGCAGTCACCAGGAAATCCTGGACCTCGCCAGGGAGATTCAAAGACTCCGACCAGAAATTGAAATTGCAAAGAAAAGGGTAAAGCTGATAYTTTCCAGCAGGACTCAATGGTTTAAGMCCCYTTTCCACAGGATSTCAGTGYAGCAMAATTAGGGATGAAGCTTTCTYTTCCAAATGAAGCAGATTTAGATTYTGGGGATCTATACTGGGGTTTAATTGCATTAATTCATGTATTATGCTTTTTYGGCATTCTGTCATTGAGGAAAGCCTTTTGATTTCCAAGGAATGCCAGGAGGGTTTGAAAATGATGGGATTTGGGGGTTTTCCTGTGCTGGGMTAGGAGYTGGACTCRAAGATCCCTGTGGTTACCTTCTGACTATGATTATTCCATGATTCCAGGATAAAATCCTCCCCACAGAAGGGACACGCTGACATTCCCTTTGTTCCCTCTGCAGAATTCCAGCCTCCAGGACTCCATTAAAGACGCCGAGCACCGTGGGAGCTCAGCCCTCAGGGACGGCCAGGAAAAGCTCCAGGAGCTGGAAAAAGCCCTCCAACAGGCCAAGGATGACCTTTCTCGCCTGGTCCGTGATTACCAGGAGCTCCTGAACGTGAAGCTGGGTCTGGACATTGAGATCGCCATGTATCGRTCGCTCCTTGAGGAGGAGGAGAACAGGTGGGGGCAAAATTCATCCTGGGTGGAACACCCGGACCAAGCAGCGTGTCCGTGGATCTGGGATCTCTGGGATGGACTGAGCCTAGGAGGAATCACCTTTCCACGGATCATTGATAAAGCCTAACCTGAATTTTACTTCTGATTTTTTTTGGCTGTTTTACCTCAATGTCGTTTTTCCTCCACAGAATCCAGGAAGGATCACCAGCCACAATCTGTGAGTATCCCAAGGATTTTATTTGGGTTTTTTTAAAGAAAACTGTTCCTACTTTGTGGTCTTAACACCATCAGAACAAACTTTCACGGCCCCCATCTTAATTCAGGAAAGGATGCAAAGAGGAGTTTGTGTGTGAACACACATTAATGTAACAATTGACTTTAGAATTATTGGCTAATTCCCACCAAATTTGGAGGAAATGGGAAACACCTCATTTAATCCATAGATCTGTTTGATGAAGGGCAGAAAGGAAGGAAATAGAAACTAATCCACGAATTTGTGGAAAAGTTGAGAAAGCTGAAGGAAACACAGTCTTGGCCTTTGTAAAGGTTGGGCTGCACTGAGTGTTAATGGGTGGAATAAGACATAAATGGTGTTTAAAAAAACACAAAAACCCCAGAAAAATGAGAAAATATTCCAYACGTTGATCTCTGCTAATGGAGATTCTTCTTGTCCCCTTGAAAGATAAATTCATGACCACCAGAGTAAGAAAGATAATGCATAAACCAGACCCACTCAGATTCTTTTTTTGGGGTAAAAATAATAAATTAAACGTATTTTCCGTTTCTTACAGGTGTAATTGACCACAATGCCAGAGTTACTGAAGTCTTTGGAGGCATAAAAAGTGGGAAGGGAGGAATGAGCTCTGGTGGTACCAGTGGAAGCAGCATAAAAGGGCCGATCTCTGGAGGGGGAAAAGGTGGAAGCTCTGGAGGAGGTGGATCCTGCTATGGTGGGGGTGGATCAAGTTATGGAGGTGGAAAAGGCTCAGG